TTTGGGTGCATCGTGCAGGCCTAGGCAGCCCTTCTAGGCACTTGGTCTTGAGGTGCGTGCCCAGCGCATAGGCAAGCGCTCAGGAGCAAAAACACTCCTCATGGAGGGGCATTTTTCCATTTTTACCCCAACATAAGGGGGTTTATTTGGGTTTTATATGTCCTAAACCCCCTTTTTTATGTATTAGGTGCAAAAATAAAGAAGAAAAACACACATTTTTGCTTTCCAGTTACTTTCATCGGTTAATTCGAAGTTTTGAATTATGTATATGGAGTATGGAGTAAGGACTGGGATGGTAATCGTGGTACTGGTATGGAGTATATGGAATGTGGACTGGAATGGTAATCATGGTAATGGTATGGAGTGGATGGACTATGGCCTATGTGTTATGGCGTAGTGCCCTTCAGGCACTGATAGACCAATGCCTTCGTTTATCACCTGAATATGTTGATTCACGGTGTCAAGTGCTTGCACTTGCAATCTCGTGACTCAACCAGTGTGCTCTATGGTGTTTGGGTTGGGTTTTGTACTATAGAGTATGGATTAATTAGACTATAATTTATTATTGTGAATTGTGACTTAGACTATATGATTGTAATATTTTCCTTGTGATTATGTTAGTACCTAGTGCTTGTAGTCTAGTCTACTAGTGGACTAGTACTGAACTTGAATGTTAGATTCTATTTTCCTATTTTTCTTAATGTATTATTAACAAATTGTCCAAATCTCAAATTCTTTGGTTTGTCTTTGGAGTTTGGATTGATTGAACGTAAAAAATGTATTCAAAACGTGTTAATATACTTTTTTACACATAATTTGGTCCTAAAACATATTTTTTGGACATCTCCCACCCCTATTTCTTCCACCTGGGGCGCTGGGCAGCCAGGAGCCCTCCATCCGTGTAGGTGCCTCCCCAAGTTTTTTTAAACATTGCATATATATTTTGTAGTTCATAAATTTACACACCTTATGAATTATGACTTGTTCCTAATTTCAATAAAAGGCAACAAGAAAGCGCAAGGAGAGAGAAGGAAGTTGGGATGAGATACAAAGGAATGCATTGCGGTTCTATTGAGGAATGAGATCATGAAAAATACGATGAACTTCCTTGGGACTATTATATTGGGTCTTGTCCACTTCCCTAAAGGGCTTCTATTGCTTAATTGTTGGTTAAGTAAATCGCTTCATACATGGAGTTGCCTTATTAGTGACGGAATAATATGTATGTTTGGAAATTTGAGGTCTCTCTCGTGTAGAGGTCATTTAACCCCTAGCAATCTTTGATGGAGGAGAGCTATGGGGAATTTTATTTGGCAATGTCCTACTCTTTTTTTTCTTATTTTGCAAAGGAGAACTTATCATATTGGTTTGTAGTATCACTACTCATTTGTGATATCTTACTCCATTGGTTACAAAAAATCCAAGAGATTTTCAATGAAATGATTTTTGTTTACATTGATACCTGGCTTTGTGAATTTGGAAAAGTTAAAAACTCTATTAAATGGAACTCACACCTAGATCATAATACAATGGATAATTGAACTTCGGGAACCTTGATCCTAACCCGGCGGAATTCCATCCTATAAGGGATCCACTCCTTTACAGATATGGAACTCGATCCCTAAAAGTCAAGGATCTCGATCCCTACATTTCCCCATGTACAGAACTCGTTCCCGGGACCACATGACTTCGCAGCTTCCTCGCTCCATACTTTCACTTTCAATCCCAAAGTTGTTTTTTGCCCCACCCTGGTAATTGTGAAATATAGCTAAAACCAAAGACGACAGGTTCAAAATTCAAAATTTTCTGAAACGTCCCCTAGGGTCGAGATTCTTTCAAATCATATTCATGCCCCATTTTTAGTTTGGGATCAAGATCCCTATAAGATAGAGAACAAGCTTCCTTGTTGAGGGAGAGAGCTCCACTCAGGCTCTGACTCTGGCTCTGGCTCTAGCTCTGGCTCGGATAGCCGGAGCCTTCCAAGGGGGTTGCCAACCCCCCAACTATACTCCCTGCATCCATGGTTCATTTCATCCAGTTTGCATGGAAGTTGCTTAGTAGCTGCTATCTCATAAAATTTGAGTTCTCATAGCTAGCACGTACCTTATTTTGAGAATTTGCTTAAGTAAATAACTGATGATTTTATTATGTTTGCAAATATTTATTTTTATGAGTATGAATACATTAAACAATTGATGCACCTAAAGCAGTTAGACTTGGGCACTATGGAACAATTAATAATCATTATTGAATGATGTTTCTAAGTACAATATGCAATTTAACATCTCAATCTATGGGAAGATGTTTTTGACAATACAACCCGTCCCCTTGCAGTCACCAAAACTAATCTATCTTAGATGGGATTAATAAACAATAGCCTGTTTGTGATGTTCATAACTTGAAACATAAATTACAGTAGAGAATGCAACAATTAGAAAACTCCATCGTGGCTGGTCTGTAGCCCGGTTAAAGGGGGAGGGTTATGTTAGGTAACCTAGTGTAAAACTTTACTACATTTTTTTATGAATTCAGAACCGATGTTATATGCTCAAGCTAAGCGATGCGCTGTTCTAACACTTGGGTGCGTGAGAAATGAACAAGGTTTAGCTAGAGCATCCCCTGAAAAACGACGTGCTGCAACGTTTCCCAGTTGAGGTGATAAGTAATGGTTCCCATGCCATTTTGAACGAGCATTGGTAAAGAAGCTAGTCTAAGAGAATATGATTCGTCTAGAAAATTTAATAGTTAAGAATATGGAGTTAGTGGATACGATGAGATGAAGGAGAGTTAACATAGCTTGCCTATAGGACACTAAGTGGTAAGGGGTAAATGCTAAGGAAATTGATGGATATAAACTTTGGTATAGAGGAAAGGATAATAATAGAAGTGGCGCAGGCATAATAGTAGCCAAAGATTTATAGGATAAAATAGTAAATGTTAAAAGTATAGGTGATAGGTTCCTATTAATCAAACTTATGTTAGGAGATAATTAATGTAATAAGTGCTTATGCGCCACAAATAAGACTGAAGGATAGGTTTAAAAGACAACTTTGGAAGGACATGAATTAGTCCAAGGAATACCAAATGGAGAGAGAGCTTTCTTAGAAGGGGATTTAAATGGTCATGTGGGAAAATCTATGGACTAGCAATCAGAAGATCTACTAACTTGCAGAAAATTATCCCCATAATTCTACTTTCACGGCCCAAAAATTTCTCAACCGGATCTGTGTAAGATGTAAACAATCCTTAATATATAATTTTAGAAATAGAAAGTTTCATAACTCTTTGTGATTGGTAACATATACACATACGTTCTTTAAAGCCATCTGCTTGTTGATTATATTTAACTTTGGAGAGCATGTTACATGGCTTGAATTCAAGCAGTCTTGATACTGTTGGATTTACATCTTCAGGTAAACTATGCACTTTTTCAAGAGAGTATTGTGCTTCAACTTTTGTTTTCTATCCTTCTAATTTTGCTATTAGGTCTATGATTTCTTTGCATATAAGAAGCCGAACCTAATTCCAACTCCTTTTTGGGGAAAAGTTGTTACAATAAGGGACCTGCCTTTGTCTTTCCAGTACCTCTCAAATTAGTACTAGATAGTTACAATTTTTCTAGATATGCTTAGTACTTGCTTAATAGCTCTTTATATATTTTTACTATCATAATACCTGTGGGAAAATTGTTGATAGAAAAAGTAGTAATTATGGGAAAATATTATAAAAGAAAAGGGAACTATGTATATTATATTGGTGAATAGTTCAAAAAGTGCAAAAAAAAGTGAACAAGATGAAGTGGATTCTAATCAGACATTCTACCATTATTGTGATTTCTGGAAAATCTTGAAGTGTGAGAATATCAGACCACATGCTTTTCAATAATATTTTACTTTTTGGTTTCTGACAATGAGAATGACCATACTTTCTAGGGCAATGATTCTTCCAAAGTGCTCATATTTTTGCCATGATGTTTAAGGAAAAGGATAACTAGAGTAGGGTTTTGATTTTTGGCCATTTGTAGAAACTCTGAAGGCGTGGTATTGACTTGTATTATCTCAAGGTTTCAATGAGTTGTCTCATGGATTGGTAAAGGATCCAGTAAGTTGTTGGTACCGCCACATAGATTGCAGAAATTGTTCCCTAGACTTCCTTTTCACTAGAGTTCTCTGTTTGCGGCATTCTTCGCATACTTGAAAATAAACACTTGAGCAGGTATGTTAGCTCCTATGATTAGACCTGATCTCCAAGAACTTTCCAAATTATATTGGTACTGTGATGGCCACCTCTCGTATCATGCAACCTATTAAAGTTGTCTTATTTGCTGGTTTTCTCATATTTGATGTCAGGTGAATTTATGAATATACACGTAGACTAAGTGTAGCTGAGATGAGGATGCTGAGATGGATGAGTAGAAAGATAAGAAGGGATAGAATTCAATATAAATATATTCTGAAAAATTTAGGTGTGGCACCAATAGGAGTTGAAATGAGAGAAAGTAGACGTAGGTGGGTTGGCTATGTATGTTGCAAACCCAGTACAATACCCGTTAGGACGTGCGAGTTAGTTGAAGTAGATGCGAGTAAGTTGAACTAGAAGACCATACAAGGGCAAGGGGTAGGCCCAAAAGGGCATGGTTGGAAGTAGTGACAAAAGATATGGGGAGTTTAGGCCTCACTGACGGTATAGCCCTTAATAGAGCAGAATGAAAGATCAGGATTCATGTAGCCAAATCCCAATTAGTTGGGAAAGGGCTTCGACGATAATGATGATGTCAGGTAAATTTATGCTCATTTATGAATATTTCCCCATTCTATGTCTAGTATTCTTTCGTTTTTGTCTAGTATTGAACTGATTTATCGAATAACGCTCAAGCATTTTAATATCCCATTTAATTGGCATTTTAACTATCATGTGCTACATGTATCTTGATGCTGCAAGAAGAAGTGGGGGCAGGGGAAGGGAACAAATTAATACTCATGTGTTTATTTGTGATGCAGATTTACTCCATGTCTTCTCATTAGTGCCGAGGGATTTGAACTTCATAGATCATACCAGTGACCTTGGGTGGAAAGAGTATGCAAACTCTGTTGTTTATGTTATTTTCAAAATAAAAAATTGTTCGGTTGTTTTCCTTTACTGGATGTTATGGGTCTTTATAGTTTCTGCTTCTGCAGGGATCAGAGAGTCTGCCAGATTGTAGTGGATCCACAGCTCTATTTGGTAACAAGATATGATATTTTCCATGCATCAGAACGGAGACCTACCCCAAATGCTTTCAAGTTCTTCACAGGTCAGTCTTCTCTATAAATTTGCTTGTTGTATACATTTTTTCTTTATGTATCCTTGCACTATTCATCAAATCAATTGAGTTTCTTGTCCAAAAACTCTTCTCTTTGATTGCTGGGGAGAGAAAAAAGTAAGAAGAACAAAGGAAAAGCCAACCTCTCAACATCATTGGTCTTGCCAAATCTCCATTGATTTTGGATTAGCAATTATTCACTCTGACGCATCAAACTCCCAATTTTGATCTCAGCTACCCATTTTGATAGCTGTTTTTGTCTTTCATAGAACTAATACCTCTATTGAGTATATCTTGCTTTTTAATTTGGTAACAATCTATGTTAACAGGTTCCCCATGGCTTATTCTTAGCCGGGTCTTTGTGGACTTCTTGGTATTGGGTTGGGATAACCTCCCTCGAACCCTCCCCATGTATTTCACTAATGTATTGATCGCCAATGAAGGCTATTTCCCCACACTTATCTGCAACTCTGTGGATTTTCAAAACAAAACAGTCAATAGTGACCTTCGACACATGGTTTGGGACACCCCTTCTAAACCAATGCCTCACTATTTAGGTGTAGAAGACTATGATAAAATGCTAGAGAGTGGATATGCCTTTGCTAGGCAGTTTAAAGAAGATGAGCCAGTTCTTAATAAGATTGATAAGCGGTCTTGAGTCGTGGGTCCAATCGAGTGGTTCCTGATGGCTGGTGTTTGGGTAGTAGGTGGGGTGACCCATGCTCAAGCTGGGGTGACCCCAATGTTTTGAAGCCTGGTCCTCAGGCTAAGAGGCTTGGTGCTTTGGTGTCAAAGCTGCTCGCAAATGGGACTTTAGAGTCTAGGCAGTGCGTGTGAGTTTCCTTTCTCTCTCCCCCCATCTCCTCTTTTGAGAAGGCATCTTGATGTGTTGCAATTCTTTCTCTACCCTTTTATGGGTCATCAATTTTCTCTCTCGTTTTTAAGGGTCTCTCTCATGCTAGGTTCTGATGAGACTCTCTCAGGGGTTATTGGTTATGGTTACTCTTTCAGGGGGTTTGTTGGTTCTCCACTCTTGTAATTGTTTTGGGAATTAAATTAGTTTTGTGGTGATTTGAGGTATTTTACTGGAGCAAAGTTGTGGTCTTGTGGAGGGCCGAAGCAATAAGGGGGGAATTTAACGTGGGCAATTTGCATGGTTCGGTGGCGCATAGTGGGTATCATCACCTTTTTCAATTTGTTCTTGTATACTTAGATGGGATGATTGAAGAGCGTAAATATAGTTGCTGCAATGCCTATCAGCGTATTCAGGATCCTATAGGTCGTTAAACTGGTGGGACTGGTCATGTCATTTGCAGAAAATGTATCCGTACACTTTTTTGGGTTTCATTTCTAGACCCAAGGTTTTAAAACATTTGTGGTATAGAGATTCATATATTATATTTTCTAACCTCTGGATTAGCTTTGCCTATCTTTTTAGTCCAAACAAAAGTTCGAATGAATTTTTTTTTTCTATTATTTTATAAACCCCTTGTCTTTCTCTCTTCTCATTTTTCTCACAAATTTTTTTTTCTAATATTGAAAAATAGATTTTTTTTAATATTGATAAAAAAAGAGAGGCTTGGGGAGAAACTTGTTTGATAATATGAAGTGGCTTCTGAAAGTTGAGAACTTCTCAACCTTTCGTGTTTGATAAAAATGAGAACCCCAAATTGAAATTTTTCATCTTCCCACACCCCTGTGTAAAAAAAGTTCCGACCCAAAGGTCGGAACCTCAAATATGAAGCTCTAAACTTCCTCCCCATTCGATAACCTAGAGCACCCCTCCCCTTCGATAAAACCCTAATCTCTGAGCACACTCCCGCCCCCGCTGAGCACCCACCCCACTGAGCACTCCTCTCTGTGCCGCTGAGCATCCACCCCGTTGAGTGTCCCTCTTTTTGCGACTTCCCATCTCGCCGTTGAGCCTGCAAAGCACGCCACTATCTCAGGCAAACCTGTGATCCTTGCCATTGATCTTGAGGTATGCACTTTATTCTCTATGTTACTGATCATTGTGTTTGTTCTTGAGCTCTTGAAACAAATGGCTCTTATTATTGATCTCTGTGTTTGTTATTGAGCTCTTGAAGCTTAGAGTTCTTATACCCCATGATTTTAGGGTACAAGTTTTTTTGTGGCATTTTCTCTCTCTGTTGACTCCCAATTTGGGTCTTCTTAGTTTTTTTTTTTTCTCTCTCTTTCTCTTTGTTACTTTCTCACTGTTTGAAAATGGGCAATGGATGTTACTTGCTCATGAAATGCCTTGTGTGCCTAACGTTATAGAAACATTGTTGAAAGTGAGAGTGCTTTAGAGAGAGAAATAGAGAGAGTGTGTGTTTGAAAGTGAGTGCTTTAGAGAGAGAAAGAGAGAGTGTGTTTTCATGGCGGATTTCTGATCTTTCTCTCTACCAAATTTTAGCAGGTACCGCCTTTTCTTAGTTCTCGGGTTTTTCTTGTCTGCGCATCTTCTAGTTTCTCATTTTCCATATGCTTGGGCCTTAGTTTTTGCAATTGCAGAGCTTGATTGAGAAGAATTATTTTCATGGATTCATTTACTTATTTCTTGTTCTTTATTTTGAAGGTTATCATTATTATTATTTAGTCTAGGTTCTTCTCAATTTCATTTGCAACTCTTAGGAACTTTTGACAATACAGAGCTTGATTTAAAAAAAACAAAAAAAAAACTTTTTGTGGGTTCATATATCTTGCAATTCACTATTGGTTTTAGTTTTTTCTATTTTTTTATGTAGCTTCTACTTCCAATTCTACAAGTGTAGGGGCATTAAATTGCAGAGCTTGTATGAAAAAGTGTTTCTTGTGGATTTGTTCTCTTGCATTTGGTTCTTTTTTGTGAGAAAGTTAGCCTTTTCTTGAATTTGGTTCTTGTTATTCTTTTCTTTCTTTTTTCTTTTGGTTCCATAATCTTATGCCTTCTGCATCTACAATTCTTGGGACCTTAGTTTTTGTAAAGAGCTTGATTAAGAAGAATTATATTTATGGCTTCGTTTCTTCCATTTTGTTGGATTGGGGTTTCTCTTTTCACCAGGATACAATTTTCCGATTCTGCAACTACTAAGCCATACCTTCTGCGGTAAAAGATCTTGGTCGGGAAACATGCTTTTTGTTTGCTTCTATTTCACCGTGATTAGGTTAGAAACTTAGAGAACTTGAGTTATAGAGAGTTGATTGTGCCCATCTCATATATTTCAGATGAGAAAAATGGAAGAAAAATGTATTTTCAGCAATTTTTTCCATTAATTTTATTAGGTTTTAAGGTTTATTTCCAAAATGCTTCAAGGTTTTTAAGACTTCCTTCCAAATATTATCTTTAAAAGTTTTTTTTTCCCCCTAAGACCCATTTTATCTATTCCCTACTTAGAATCAAATCAATGTGGGATTTGCAGGCTCCATGGAACATTTTAGTCTGTCTTTGCAAATTTTCTGTTCTTATTGAGGAACTTTTTTTCTTTTTCGATTTCGTCCATTTTTCTCTAATTTTATGCTACATGGATCGTATGTTGTTCTGGAACTTTTAGGGCCCATCAAGTTTTTTTGCAAACAATACACCTCACCTCAACTCATCCATTTAATCTGGCTTTTGGTCAAAAATTCGGGGAAACTTGCTTGAATGTTTCATTTTCATGAGTCTTCACCATCAAACAAACAAATTTCATCAGGCTTCTCTAGTTTTATTTAGAACTTCAAAAACTCGACTTCTAGGAATTAATGACCCTTTTTTATATTTTGTGGTAGAAATTCAGTGATATGGAGCTATTAGGTATTTATGTTTCTTGGCTGCCTGGAGGTTCTTGTATTCTATAATGTGGACTCATTTTCTCATGTTTTCATAATTGTTATTTTTTTACCAATTCAGGTGGGTCATTATTTGCATTTCTTTGACAAATGACTTAAATGGCAAACATATTCCGTAATAACATTTGAGGTGCTTAGTTCACATTGTTTGAAGAGGCTTAACTATAATTATATCATGTTTCTTTTTTATCATTACTTGTTAGATCAGATTTTAGAATTTTTCAGATTATCTATGTGATACTGATAAATTGTTTCCATCCCTAGTTTCTTGACTAAACAACACAATGTAACTTATGTTTGTCATAAACTTGATTTTATCTCTTAAATGTAAATACTACTTGGGTAGAGAAGATTTCTCATAAATGGTGATTATTCTTTGCTCCTAATGATCCATTCATCACCCTTAAGTGTTTAATGTTTGCTGGAACTTAGTGTTTCTATTTGATTATTTGGAGTCGTATTCTTTGATCGTGGATTATTTGATTTTTGTTCATTTCTCAAATGTTGTTGTACTTTGGGCTTCTCTTTTCATGGCTGTTGATTAATGGGTATAATATATAATTTGCTCAATGTCTAGAAATAACCATGCTCTCTCTCTCTCTTACATCACGCACACGTGTGTGTTGGTGAAATTGAAGTATTGTGAAATTGAAATATTGGGTTGGTTTTGAAATCTTATGCGAGTGCTTCTATGATGAATTCACTGATGTAGCTTCTATGTATTGGATATGAATTCTCCTTGGTAATTATGAATGTTTAATGTTCTATGAATCTATCAATACAGAAACTCCAGTATGGCCTTTGTGAAACTGTCCATGCAAATGTGGTAAATTGATTGTACTTGAAGGTTTTTTTTTTTTAAAATTGGTAAAATCGGTAAAAAAAAAAGTTTTTTTATTGAGCTTTGATATTTGAGATTTTTCTGAGCTTTTTTTGAGTTTTTTCTGAGCGAAAATTGGTAAAAAAAAAGTTTAGGGCTTTTTCTGAGGTTTTTCTAATCTTTGAGCTCTGATCAGAGTATGAATACATTATAAATTTCATTTATCTCTGATCTTTGAGCTCTGATCAGAGTACGAATACATTACAGTTTAAGGTTTTTTTTGAGGTTTTTATTTTTTTTTTAAATTGGTAAAATCGGTAAAAAAAAAAAGTATTTTTTATTTGAGCTCTAATATTTGAGCTTTTTTTGAGCGAAAATTGGTAAAAGAAGAAGTTTAGGGCTTTTTCTGAGCTTTTTATGAGGTCTTTCTGATCTTTGAGCTTTGATATTTGAGCTTTGATCAAAGTACGAATACATTAAAAATTTCATTGAGCTCTGATATTTGAGCTCTAATCAGAGTACGAATACATCACAGTTAAGGGCTTTTTCTGAGGTTTTTCATTTTTTTAAATTGGTAAAAAAAAAAATATTTTTTATTTGAGCTATGATATTTGAGCTTTTTCTGAGCGAAAATTGGTAAAAAAAAACGTTTAGGGCTTTTTTTCAACTTTTTATGAGGTTTTTTTTATCTTTGAGCTCTGATATTTGTGCTCTGATCAGAGTACGAATACATTATAAATTTCATTGAGCTCTGATCTTTGAGGTCTGATCAGAGTACGAATACATTACACTTAAGGGCTTTTTCTAAGGTTTTTCATTTTTTTAAATTGGCAAAATCAGTAAAAAAAAAAAGTATTTTTTATTTGAGCTCTGATATTTGAGCTTTTTCTTAGCTTTTTCGGAGTTTTTTCTTAGCTTTTTCTGAGCTTTTTCTGAGTGAAAATTGGTAAAAAAAAAAAAATTTAGGGCTGATTTCTTTATAGATGCATGAGTTATGAATGTGCTTGATACAGATGCACCAGTGTTGAATATATGTAGTGCTCAAGTTATAACAAGTTACTGTTGAATGGGCTGATTTCTTGCTGCTTGCATTGTGCATGTGTGTTTGAATGGGCTGATTTCTTAGTTCTTGCATTTTTAATTATGTATGTTTAAACTATTACAGGTTATTGTTGAATGGGTTCGTTTTGTACATGGTTTTCTTTATGGATGCATGAGTTGTGAATGTTGCTTGATACAGATGAGTGCTGAATATAAGTAGTGCTTAAGTTATTACAGGTTATTGTTGAATGGGTTAATTTCTTGCTGCTTGCATTGTGCATGTGTATTTGAATGAGTTGATTTCTTAGTTCTTGCATTTTTAATTATATATGTTTAAACTATTATAGGTTATTCTATGTATGTTCAAATGTCGTGTGCCATTATAATCTTGTCGAGAGAGTGAGAGAGAGAGAGAGAGAGAGAGAGAGCACAACATATGATTATATAGAATATAATAGATTTGTTGTATCTATATTTTAGAATGGATCCAAGCACGTCATCAAGCATACAAAATGAGAATATAGGATCCAAGAGAAACTTGCAATGGATACAGGCAGAAGAGGATCATTTCATTGAACTTATGGGAAAAGAGAGTAGGGCTGTATCCAAGGCAAGGGGGGGCGGGGGGGGGGCGGGGCTTTAAAAAAGGTTATTGGAAACGGATGGTAGAATCGATGACAATTAAATTTGGGCCATTAAACACGGAAAGTAGGTTAAAGAGCAAGTACAAGTTCTTCAAAACCATGTGCAGTGACATAAAAAAACTTATGAATGTATCCGGGTTTGGATGGGATGCAAGGAGGAGGATAGTAACCGTCGACAGTGCCGTTTGGATTGACTACTTAGCGGTATGTAATTACTCATTTGCATAAGCTTTAAAAATTTTGAATATGTTCAAATACGAATATCGCTAAAAATAATTTATGACCTTTTATATGTAGGAGAATGAATGGGCAAATAAATATCATAACAAGATGTTGCCCGAATATTCACTCCTCAGTAAGATCTATGTGGGCAACACAGCAGATGGGATGTACAAATCGACTGAGGGTGGCATTACAATTGAGTCAGAAAGGCCCGAAACTCCATTCTCTAATGACCCCCTTGTAGAAGTCCAGGTCCAATCTAGCTCATCCTCATCTGATGACCCAGTATCATTAGGATAAAAAAGACGACGTTTTCATACTCCTATAAGAACACAACGCCGATCAAAGCAACCCACCTCCAATTACTCCATGACTAAAGTCATGATAGAGGTGATCGATAACATTAAGATGCTAGCACGTGAAATCGCAGGTAACAGCAGTACTCTTGTGGTAGATGTTCCGTCCAAAGTTAGGAGAGACGCCTTAAAGACTGTTGAAGACATGTGGAGAGCAGGTGAACTTGGTGATGATGTTTTTGTAACGGCGGCAAGGATCTTCCAAGATTCTATAAAGGCAGAGATGTTATTAAACTTACCAGATCCAAGAATACTAAAGGCTTACTTGGATGAAGAAGTGAAACACCTCTAAATACTTGATATGTTTACTTTATATGGTTTCCATATTATAAATATGTATGTGGATGACTTCTTTCATTTGTAATTCGATGGCTTCTTTCATTTTAATATCAAAGATTGTTTCATGGTTTTCATTATGGATGTGGATGACTTCTTTTATATTATGGTCTGATAGAGATTATTTTATGGTTTGTATTTTATAAATATGTATTGGATAAATTCTTTCATTTGTATGCGGATGGTTTCTTTCAATTTAATATTAAATGTTGCTTCATGGTTTTCTTTATGGATGTGGATGGCTTCTTTCTTATTATGGTTTGATAGAGTATATTTTATGGTTTGTATTTTATAAATATGTATTGGATAAATTCTTTCATTTGTATGTGGAAGGTTTCTTTCAATTTAATGTCAATAATTGTTTCATGGTTTTCTTTATGGATGTGGATGGCTTCTTTCATATTATGGTTTGATTAAAAATATTGCTTTAATTTAAGGTGGGTGTCATCTTCTATTTCTAGTTATGGATCCTCAACAGCGTCGGTTGGTGGTAATCTTATATCTTACATATATAATGTGGTGCATTATATGTTGGTATATCACTATGCAAAAGAGGAGAAGGCATGTTCTTACTTCAATTTTTACTTGGGCTAATTATGTCCAATACTTGCTGTCAGGGCACCCTCGTAAGTGCTTTGACCAATTACGAATGAAAAGTTGTGTTTTTATCAGTCTATGTAATTTGTTAAAGTAGAGGATAAACATTACATATACAAGATATTTGATAGTTGATGAACAAGTAGCCATAGTTTTAAGCATCGTCACACACAATCAATGGAATAAGGTGGTCCAGGAACGATTCCAACATTCAAGGTAGACCAGAAGTTACTACTTCCATAGAGTTTTACAAGCCATCTTACAATTGGAACCCTTGTTTCTGCAACCAGCAAGCAATGAAACATCGGCCCACATTACTAGTGATACGCTACGATTTTACCCATATTTCAAGGTATGCGAGTGTCAAATAATTCACATTGTTATTCTCACATCCATTGAGAATTAATATATAATATGTTGATTTTTTCTCTTAATAGGATTGTGTTGGAGCTATTGATGTGACTCATGTCCCTGCTCGAGTTCGTAGTCGATTGCATAATCGTTTTCGAAACAAAAAAGGTTTTTTAAACTAGAATATTATGGTTGCGGTTGGTTTCGATATGTGCTTCCATTATGTACTTTAAGGTTGGAAAGGATCCGCATCAGATTCTAAATTCCTATATGACACAGTTAGTAATGAAGGCAGTACGCTTGCAGTGCTTGAGGGTAACTTCGTTCCTTCTTATGTTTCGTTGCTTCGGTTTGTACAATATTTCTAGTGTAATATTTGGCCTTACAATATACTCATTGCACAAACAAGGTACAGGGAAATATTACCTTATAGATGGTGGGTATCCTACTATTCGTGGTTTGTATCGAAGAGTCCGTTTACTTCAGGCCCCCGAGCTCCCCAGAATCACAAAGAGTTATTCAACAAGTGGCATTCTACGCTTAAAATGTGGTGGAGATGACATTTGGACTTTTGAAGGCTAGATTTCCTGTACTTATGAATCAAATGCAATATCCTTTACGAACACAGGTTGATGTAGTTATTGTATGTGCAATATTGCACAACTATATCATGATGACTCGAGGAGTCGATAGCAGAAGGGAGCTGCGTTTTCGAAGGAGGGTTGAGAGTCAACTCGTAATTGACGGAGATGATGGTTTTTTACAATTGACTCAGAGGCATGTTTGATCATGACGTTGGCGTCAATCTGCGAGATGCCATAGCAACGCAATTGTGGGAGGCCTACCAAAGTCGCTAGCACTAGTAATTAAACATTGTTCTGCATTTCATATGAAATTTGTATATTGTGTTCATTCTATTGCATTTTGAATTATGCATGTTTAAACTATTATAGGTTATTGTTGAATGGGGTTTTGTACGTGGTTTTTGCTATGGATGCATGAATTGTGAATGGTGCTTAATACAGATGTGTCAGTGTTGAATATAAGTAGTGATCAAGTTATTGCAAGATATTATTGAATGAGTTGATTTCTTACTGCTTGCATTGTGCATTTGTATTTGAATGAGTTGATTTCTTACAGGTTATTGTTTATGGGTGCATGAATTGTGAATGTTGCTTGATACAGATGCATCAGTGCTGAATATATGTAGCGTTCAAGTTATTGCAAGTTATTGTTGAATGGGCTGATTTCATACTGCTTGCATTGTGCATGTATGTTTGAATGAGTTGATTTCTTAGTTCTTGTATTTTGAATTATATATGTTTAAATTATTACAGGTTAATTGTTGAATGGGCTGGTTTTGTACATAGTTTTCCTTTTATAGAAGCATCAATTGTGAATGTTACTTGATGCAAATGCGTCAATGCCGAAGTTATTACATGTTATGATTTGTTATTACACATCTAGATTGGAAGTGTATAATATATCCAATGGCTACTCATTTGCATATTCCATGGGGTGGTCCTCGTCCAATGAAATGATAAATGGTATAGAGAGGGATTGGAATCCCCTAGAACAGGTTATGATCACAATGGTGGGTCCTACTTCTTCATCACCACTCATAATTTTATCAAATATGGATTACCTCGATGGACTATAGTTTTCTGTAGCGCATTGGATATTATACATCTATTTTTCTAAAACATCTAATGCCTCTATAGAGTTTCCATTTTTTGACCCCAAATGTCTTGCATATTTTTGTGCACTTCTGACTCTCAAACTTCACTCATAGTTGATCCATTGGGCCACATAGCATGTAAATCTTGAAATGTTCATTGATTAGTGAATTTATTCTATTCTGCATTTTGCTTTTTTTTTTTTTTTTTTGAAAAGATCTTTTTGGTTCCAATGCCATGATATGAAACATTTTGCAATTTTATTTTCATTGTTTATAAGTACTATATATTTTGAGAAAAGTTGTCAAAAAAAATATATTGAAAAAGTGAATGCACAAAAAAAAAATCGTGGAAACACAAAATCGTGCAAATGAAAAATTGTTACAAGAATCAAATAGAGACTACAAATCTCACAAAGGTAGACTACACTTCTCTATGGATTTTGCTTGTCTTCACGTATGTCCGTACTTTTTTGCAAAAAAAGTAACTATGTGTACCTATTCTTTGTAAAAAAAAGAAACAGAAAATAAGTTACATGATTGCCATTGATTTTTAGGAAACTTCAAAATGATATGCGCTTTTTAAAATTACATGACTACCATTGATTTTGGAAAACTTCAAGATGATATCTGCCCCATGATATTTCTTTTGGTAAGGACTATAGGCTTGTTTGGAAACTAAAATGCACTTTTATCATGTGGTGTTAACTTCCCAAGAGGTTATCAAACACAAACACCAAGAACTTCTTAACTTCCCAAGAGATTACCAAACACAGAAACCAAGAACTTCTTAACTTGTCAGGGAAGTTATCAAACAAAAAAACCAAGAACTTCTTAAGTCCATAGAACTTAAGAACTTCCAATATACAATACCTGAACTTACTTCCAGTTATCAAATAGGCCCGGGGAGATAGATAAGGGGGTTTAGAAAATAATAGAAAAAACAATGTCTTTTGAATTTGTTTTTGGGCTAAAAATATAGGATAAAGTAGGTCTACGAGGTTCGGAGATAATACATGGTATCTCTGTGCCTCTCTATATGTTTTGAAGCATTGGGTTTGTTGAGAAATGAAACGTAAAAACCGTATACAAAGATATTTTCCCTCTAAATTGTTTTGGAATGACTCCGATCAAGATCCAAATGTCCGTTGGAGAAGAACCGATGCTTTTAGCGGTTCTTTTCCCTATACTTAAAAGAGATGTTCACCTTTGGGTTTCCAACCAACCGCTTTGTTTTATGGGAGGGCTTCACCCACATATCTCTTTTATATTAAGCGAGAGAAAATACTCTAGCTATTTTTACGCATGTGTCCTTGTTTATTTCATAATTGTCCTCTCCCTGTCTATTCTCCCTCTCCTTCCCATAATTTAAGGTTCTAAAAATGCAAATCTCTCTCTCTCTTTCGAAAGCATATATCCATTCTTTATCACTCTCTTCACACAATTTAAAGTTTCAACATCCATTCTTTCTCCCCTATTTGTAAAAGCGTGCGTAGGTGTATATCTACAGAGAGATATCTTAAAAGAATCTTTACTCTTGGATTTCACTTCGAAGCCATAGATCTTAGAGAGAGAGGAATTGAGAAATCTAAATTCATTTCTAAAAATGAAGAATATGAATACTGATATACAATATAGCAAATGAGATTTTCAAGGG